GGCAGTATGGAGATTATGCACGTCTTTTTCTTTTCTTCCTATGTTGAAAATTCTGGTTGCTATGGCAACAAATAGACTGAAAATATGGCAAATTTTACACATAACCCGGATCCTAGTGATAACGCAAAAAAGTACAGAAAAATATGTTTATGAAAACTTGACATATTGGTAGATGGCAGTATGGAAATTATGCACATCCTTTTCTTATCTTCCTATGTTGAAAATTCTGGTTGCTATGGCAACAAATAGACTGAATTTCAAGATTTCTGAATCCAGTATTTAAGTTTTTTCACTATAAGTTCTTTATTTCTAAAGGTATTTTCTTCAAACTTTAAATATAAGTTGCTTGTCATCAACCACATCATATGTGACAAGGTTTACAACTCTAGCACAAAATTTATCAGAATTACCTCCTTTGAACTTAAAATTTTCATGAAAAAAACATTGTTTTTTTTTTTTTTTTTAATAACTTCTTTTTCTGAATGTATCTACTTCAAACTTCATATAAATGTTTCTTATTATCACTCAACATTTGTGAGTGTTCAATACTCTAGCAAGACTATTTCCAGAATTATGCCCCTTTTGAACTTAGACTTTTTTTTTTTGAGAAATTGGTAATTTTTACTCCAAGTTCTTCAATCATGATAGGATTTTAAAAATGTTATATTTTGATAACAGGGATGTTTAAAAAATAACTTTAGAGTGTCCTTCAGTCCGTCTGTCTGTACATAAAAACTGTTTCCTGTGATCACTTTTAAAGAACTTTTTCAACAAATTTACTTAAAATAGGAACATAAGTGAATGGCCAATGGCCCTTCAGAATGTTGATTGGGCTCTTACCGGTAGGGGACTTATGGATTGCTTGCAATACTATGATAATTGCTTGTTATACTGTACTTAAAGCTATAGGGCTTGGCATTGACATGTTTGACTCATCATATCCTTTTATTATACTGTACTTAAAGCTATAGGGCTTGGCATTGACATGTTTGACTCATCATATCCTTTTATTATACTGTACTTAAAGCTATGGGGCTTGGCATTGACATGTTTGACTCATCATATCCTTTTACTATACTGTATATGTTAATGCCAGAATGGACAATTTGATCTGGTTTTAATTCTACTTTTCAGCTTTGTTGGTTGAAATTCCACTAACCAGTGCATATGAGAGAGCTATCCAGCTAGCTCTCAAAATCAGGTGCTCACTCCGGCCTGAAATATTGCACAGAGGGTCTTCTTCCAACAATAAAGCTGAAAAGCTGCTGTATTACCATAACATCGATGGTGACGTAATAACCAACCAAAACTAAATGAACTTTTTCTCTTTATTTTCAAAACCAAACTTCAAATTACACTATTAAAATCAGTTATTGAGAAGCATATGTTTTCCAATGCAGTATGTCTATTGATAAACCTAATATCTGTGTCCATTTGGGCACTAAATATATTTTTCAGTAGGTAAACTTTTCATGTTTATCAATTATAGTAACCTGCATATCTATGTCAATTTGTAAACAACATATCTGAGCCAAATATGTGTACATAGGAAAACTAAATATTTTGTCAGTTGGTAAACTAAATATCTATGTCAATTGGTAAACTGAATACCTTTGTCAATTGGTAAACTAAATATCTATGTTAATTGGTAAACTAAATACCTTTGTCAATTGGTTAACTAAATATCTATGTTAATTGGCAAACTAAATATCTTTGTCAATTGGTAAACTAAATATCTATGTCAATTGGTAAACTGAATATCTTTGTCAATTAGAAACCGAATACCTTTGTCAATTGGTAAACTAAATATCTATGTTAATTGGTAAACTAAATACCTTTGTCAATTGGTTAACTAAATATCTATGTAAATTGCTAAACTAAATATCTTTGTCAATTGGTAACTAAATATCTACTTAAATTTGTAAACTAAATATCTTTTTCAGTTGGAGAAATAAATTATAAGGTCAGAAATGTTGACAAGTTGTTTTAATTGATGTAGTTATTTGAATACAAATTGAACATCTTGACTTCTGGAACCAAAAGTGATTGGCCTAGTATAACACGATGGCGACGAGGCCAACCAGCACATTTGTTCAGTCTGAGCAGACTGTATGCTGCCAGTAGACAGTAGCTTAATTTTTGTATTTCAATATTGAAATCCCTTAAACTTAGACTGTTTCAACTTCAAAACTGGGTAAATTCATTTTACAAATTCAGGAGGAAAAAGTTAAATACCTTAACATATTGAATATATCCTTATATGGTGACGGAGAGGGGACATGCTCTTGTGTTCAAGTATGATTACAAATATAACCCAGAGGAACAGGACTGTAGCATGCCAACCAGTCTGTCAATAAATATCAATGATCAAACGTAAGTTGCTTGATTTAAGATTTTTTATGCTTCCCGAAAAATTTCGGGGGAGCATATAGTCGGCGCCTTGTCCGTCTGTCCGTCCGTTGTCTTGTCCGGAGCATAACTTGAAAACCCATGGAGATAATTTGTTGAAACTTCATACACTGGTAGAGGGCATTGAGGGGGAGTGCAGTGTCAAAAAACCATAACTGTATTTTGCCCGATTTTTGAATTATCTCCCCTTTAAGAAAAATCATGTCCTGGATATAACTCTATAACTATAAGAGATATCGACATGAAACTTTGTAGGTAAATAGATCTCAATGGGTAGATGTGCAGTGTACATGAACCATAACACTTTTCCCCCTAATTTTGGAGTTATTGCCCTTTGTTAATTTTAACACTTTGAACTTTATTCTGAACATAACTCTAAAATTATAAAAGATATCAAGATGAAACATTGTAGGAAGATAGATCTCATTGAGTAGAGGTGCAGTGCAAAAGAACCATAACTCTGTTAAGCCTCACTTTTAGCTCACCTGTAACAAAGTGACAGGGTGAGCTTTTGTGATCGCTTTTCGTCCGTCGTCCATCCGTCCGTCGTCCGTCCGTAAACTTTTACTTTAAATGACATCTCCTCATAAACCACTAAGCCAATTTCATCCAAACTTCACAGGAATGTTCCTTTGGTGGTCACCTTTAAAAATTGTTCAAAGAATTTAATTCCATGCAGAACTCTGGTTGCCGTGGCGACCGAAAGAAAAAACTTTAAATATCTTCTTTTAAAAAACCATAAGAGCTAGAGCTTAGATATTTGGCATGAAACATCTTCTAGTGAATGTCTACCAAGTTTGTTCAAATTAAAGCCCTGGGGTCAAAATTGGCCCCGCCCCGTGGGGTCATTGATTTTCTCTATTTACATATAGTAAAAACTTAAAATATCTTCTTTTAAAGGTTTTTGTTTGTTTGTTTGTTTCATTTTACGCCTTTTTCCAACAGTATTTCAGTCATATAGGCGGGTAGTTTCCTAACCATCGTTCCTGGAGAGTTACACCAGTACTAGACTACCTTCTTCCGCGCTAAACTACCAAAGCATCTCCTGGGGATCGAACCCACGCCAGAGAGGTAACTGGATTAGAAGTCATCGACTGTAACCCCTCGACCACGGAGGCGGTACTTCTTTTAAAGAACCAAAAACCAAAAGAGCTACAGCTAAGATATTTAGCATGAAACATGTTCTAATGGGTGTGTACCAAGTTTGTTCAAATAAAAGCTCTTGGGTCAAAATTGGCCCCGCCCCGGGGGGTCATTGATTTTCCCTATATGCATATAGTAAAAACTTAAAAAATCTTCTTTTAAAGAACCAAAAGAGCTAGAGCTAAGATTTTTAGCATGAAACATGTTCTAATAGGTGTCTATCAAGTTTGTTCAAATAAAAGCCCTGGGATAAAAATTGGCCCCGCCCCGTGGGGTCATTGATTTTCCGTATATGCATATAGTAAAATCATAAGAAATCTTCTTTTAAAGAACCAAAAGAGCTAGAGCTAAGATAATTTAGCATGAAACATGTTTTAATGGGTGTCTACCAAGTTTGTTCAAATAAAAGCCCTGGGGTCAAAAATGGCCCCGCCCCAGAGGGTCATTGATTTTCCCTATATGCATATAGTACAAACTCAAAAAATCTTCTTTTAAAGAACTCAAAGAGCTATGGCTAAGATATTGAGCATCAAACATGTTCTAATAGGTGTCTACCAAGTTTGTTCAAATAAAAGCCCTGGGGTCAAAATTGGCCCCACCCAAGGGGGTCATTGGTTTTCCCTATATGCATATAGTAAAAACTTAAAAAATCTTCTTTTAAAGAACCAAAAGAGTTAAAGCTAAGATATTTAGCATGAAACATTTTCTAATAAGTGTCTACCAAGTTTGTTCAAATAAAAGCCTTGGGGTCAAAATTGGCCCGGCCCCGGGGGATCATTGATTTTCCCTATATGCATATAGTAAAAACTTAAAAAATCTTCTTTTAAAGAACTCAAAGAGCTATGGCTAAGAAATTTAGCATCAAGCATTTTCTAATAGGTGTCTACCAAGTTTGTTCAAATAAAAGCCCTGGGGTCAAAATTGGCACCGCCCAGGGGGTCATTGATTTTCCTTATATGTGTATATCAAAAACTTAAAAAATCTTCTTTGAAAAAACCCAAATAGCTAGAGTTAAGATATTAAGCATGAAACATCTTTTAGTGAATGTCTACAAAGTTTGTTCAAATAAAAGACCTGGGGTCAAAATTGGCCCCGCCCCAGGGGGTCATTGATTTTCCCTCTATATGCATATAGTAAAAACTTAAAAAATCTTCTTTGAAAAAACCCAAATAGCTAGAGTTTATATATTAAGCATGAAACATCTTTAAGTAAATATCTACAAAGTTTGTTCAAATAAAAGCCCGGGGGTCAAAACTGGTCCTGCCCCAGGGGTGTCATTGTTTTTAACTATATGTGTATAGTAAAAACCTTAAAAAATCTTCTTTTAAAAAACCCAATGAGCTAGAACTTAGATGTTTAGCATGAAACATCTTCTTATGGGTGTCTACCAAGTCTGTTCAAATAAACAAATAAAAGCCCTTGGGTAAAAATTGGCCCGGGGTGGGGTGGGGCCTATATACAGGTGAGCGACCTCAGAGCCATCATGGCCCTCTTGTTATTTTATATTTTCAGATATCTGTATGATCTCTAGCTTCCCCCTGATTATTGTAAAGTTTGCTATTTGATGACCCCCACTCACCTTCCCAACACCTGTTTATCTAATATTTTCAGAAATGTTGATGATTTATCTCCCCTGTTAATTAATTATGTTAGATATTTGGATGTATTATCTACCCTGTTTATGATACATTAGACGTATGTGGATGACTTAAATGTCTTCTGCTGTTTTATATATTTTAGATATGCAAGTGATTTCTCTCCCTTGCCTATCATGTACTTAAAATATCAATTGCATCTACTTGGCCCTTTCAGTCAGTCTTAGGATAAGGACCTTGAATAGTATGAATACACAGAACAGATACGGTATTTCGGTGTAACCTACGCAAAGAAACTAGACATGTAAACAAATAGTATTTAATGCTGGTAGTTGTTAAGTTTATTTCCAATATATCAAGTAAACACCTAAAATAAGTGAATTCATAGATACAAAAGCAAACAATTCATTATTTGTATATCTATTATTGTAGAAACCGAAGTACTAAATGCCGACCTATTGACATTTACTCGCATTTGTTTAGAATTGTACACCAGTGTGCATATTTAAATTAAAAATGGTTGTCAGTCATAATTTCTATCATAATTGTACTGAAACAGACTTAATTTTCTTTTGGATGTCAATTGAATTATATGAACATTTGTTTTACATCTCTCTCTTAATGTTTACATCTGAAACCATGTGGTAGAACTACTTTCACTATGTATTGTTTCCGAGTTTATTATAGATAATAGGCGAGGCAGTTCTGAATGCTTGAATATGTGGCTAATTATCTTCCCTGTTCATTATATATTTTAGATATGTGGAGGACCTCTCTCCCTTGCATATTATGTTGTTGAAATATGTTGTTAATAATCTCCCCTGTTCATTATATATATTTCAGATATATGGATGACTTCTCTCCATTGCTTGTAAAATTCTTGAAATATGTTGTTAATTGTCTCCCCTGTTTATTATATATTTCAGATATATGGATGACTTCTCTCCCTTGCTTGTAAAATTCTTGAAATATGTTGTTAATTGTCTCTCCGGTTTATTATATATTTCAGATATATGGATGACTTCTCTCCCTTGCTTGTAAAATTCTTGAAATATGTTGTTAATTGTCTCCCCTGTTTATTATATATTTCAGATATATGGATGACTTCTCTCCCTTGCTTGTAAAATTCTTGAAATATGTTGTTAATTGTCTCCCCTGTTTATTATATATTTCAGATATGTGGAGGACTTCTCTCCCCTGTTGGCAGACTGTAAATGCTATGCATGTGAAAATTTTACCAAGGCTTACATAAATCATTTACTAAATACATCTGAACTTCTGGCATCAACATTATTAATGATGTAAGTATTAAATAGTAACATAAGTGTTATTGACTTATCTGGGTTACATACAAACTTGGTTATACTGTAACTAAAGGGGTTTCTTTCATTAATCCTTGATAAAATTTAGTGGTTAAGGGAACAAAAGTTTAATGTTTGACCTGTAACCTGATCAATTTGTGTAATTGACCCACCATTTTCTCTGCAACAAATATGACATTACTGTAAGGGGTTTAGATTTTTATTATGCTCCCCGAAAAAATTTCGGGGGAGCATATAGTCGCCGCCTTGTCCGTCCGTCCGTCCATCCGTCCGTCCGTCTTTCCGTCCGTCCGTCCGTCCCCTTTTCTTGTCCGGGACATAACTTTGAAACAACAAGAGGTATCAACATGAAACTTTGTAGGTAGATAGATCTCATTGAGTAGGTGTGCAGTGCACAAGAACCGTAACTCTGCCTTGCCTAATTTTTGAATTATCCCCCTTTGTTTATTTTTACACTTTGAAGTTTGTCCGGGACATAACTCTAAAAGTATAAGAGGTATCAACATGAAATTTTGTAGGTAGATAGATCTCATTGAGTAGGTGTGCAGTGCACAAGAACCGTAACTCTGCCTTGCCTAATTTTTGAATTATCCCCCTTTGTTTATTTTACACTTTGAAGTTTGTCCGGGACATAACTCTAAAAGTATAAGAGGTATCAACATGAAACTGTGTAGGTAGATAGAGCTCATTGAGTAGGTGTGCAGTGCACAAGAACCGTAACTCTGCCTTGCCTAATTTCTGAATTATCCCCCTTTGTTTATTTTACACTTTGAAGTTTGTCCGGGACATAACTCTAAAAGTATAAGAGGTATCAACATGAAACTGTGTAGGTAGATAGAGCTCATTGAGTAGGTGTGCAGTGCACAAGAACCGTAACTCTGCCTTGCCTAATTTTTGAATTATCCCCCTTTGTTTATTTTACACTTTGAAATTTGTCCGGGACATAACTTTGAAACAACAAGAGGTATCAACATGAAACTTTGTAGGTAGATAGATCTCATTGAGTAAGTTTGCAGTGCACAAGAACTGTAACACTGTCTTGCCTAATTTTTGAATTATCCCCTTTGTTTATTTTACACTTTGAACTTTGTCCGGGTACTCTTAAAATATAAGAGGTATCAACATGAAACTTTTTAGATAGATAGGTCTCATTGGGTGGAAGTGCAGTGCTTAAGAATCATTACTCTGCCTTGCCTTATTTTGAAGTAATTGCCCTTTGTTTATTTTTACTTTTTGATTTTTGTCTGTGACATAACTTTAAAACTATAAGAGATATCAACATGAAACTTTGTAGGTAGCTAGATATAATTTGATAGAACTGCAATGCTTAAAGAACCTAAACAAAGCCTGGTCTAATTTTGGAGTTATTGCCCTTTGTTCATTTTTACACTTTGAATTTTACCCGGGACATAACTCTGATATCATCAGGAAACTTTATAGATAGATAGATTTTATTGAATAGAAGTGCAGTGCCAAAAAACATAACTCCCCCTTGCGTAATTTTGGAGTTTTTTGCCCTTTGTTCATTTTTTTATACTTTCCTGTGTCCAGAACCTCCTCGGGGAGCATCACCCGGTTCAACCGGTTCTTGTTAGGACAATGATGAAATAATGTAACCAGTCCCTTGTGGCTGAGGGGTGGCATTTTAAGGCACCAGAATTGCAGCCACCGTTTATCCCTCCATTGTATATCATTCAGAGGGCAGGGGAAAAAAAGGTATTGAACCTTTTTTAGGGGTGGGGATGGAGGTTGGGTTTTATGATGTACCATACACAGAAACGGTCATACAGCTACTTTCCAGCTTTGGAGGAAGACCTAAGGTGCCCCTCCATGCATTAATTCAGGCATGAGTGGATACCTGAGTAGAACCACTGATGTTCCATGGTCCCTGGTGGGACTTGAACCCACAGTATTGAAGGGGCAACTGGTTTGAAGCTTGTGACCTTAGCCACACCCGTTTTTGAACAACCTTTTCTCAGTAATATCTTAAAGTTATTTGTTTATAAGTCAATTGTTCATAGACATGTATTTTCTTTTGATATTCATTCATAAGACTAGTTTTTCAATGTTGCCCCTATATTACTCTGACAACAGATGGGTCATTATGAGGGATGTAGTTTGTTTTTACTTGTCTTTTTATTTCAGACATAATTTTCACCACTATTTTCAATTCTTCAAGACAATAAGAGAAGCTCTGGCAGAGAACAGATTTCAAGACTTGCAAATATTGATTGAAAAACAGACTCCAATAAAGGAAACATCTTAAAATATATTCAGGGCTTTTTTATACTTTTTCCAACAGACATATCATAAAGAATTGTGCTAACCAAAAGTAAATTATTTTCCATATGATAACTTAACTTAATGTTTAGGTATATACTGTCACACTAAAACGTAATAGTTATTGTACTGTAACCCCCTTGTTTGAGGAAGTCAGTCTATTAGAAAGATATAAATAGCTAAAATGGCCCCAAACGGCAAAATTAGAAATGTTACAGGCTCAATTTGACTAAGCCTGTTCATGGATGGGATGAAAAGAGCAAGGTACCGTCCATGCCGCCTACATGTAGCATCAGTTTAAGTATAATTCAACATTTAACATGAAAAAGTAAATATTTTGAATATAAATATAGAAACATCCACAAATGTGTTTATATGGATTATCATGTGACACTTTTGTGCAATTTTCATGACAAGTGGCATAGGGTCTTCAAGATAAAGCACATGTGTCCTGTACAAGAAAACAATGGATGAAACTAAATAAATGAAATTTTTTGAAGAGGGTCAGATGTTAAAAAACATCAGTTGAAATTAATATTTTATTAGAATCATAGTATTACATGTATTATACAATCATGTATTTAATAATAAAAAAAGTTTCTGGAAACTTAAGACATGTATTTATCTTTACAACAGTTACAGGGGATAAAATATGTTAGTTTATGGAAACATAAGACATGCATTTATCTTTACAACAGTTACAGGGGATAAAATATGTTAGTTTATGGAAACATAAGACATGCATTTATCTTTACAACAGTTACAGGGGATAAAATATGTTAGTTTATGGAAACATAAGACATGCATTTATCTTTACAACAGTTACAGGGGATAAAATATGTTAGTTTATGGAAACATAAGACATGCATTTATCTTTACAACAGTTACAGGGGATAAAATATGTTAATGATTGAATACATTCTGAGCTTGCTTGTTTGTTCACAAAATTCATACACAATTAAAGATCCTGTATGTTGTAATTAAGGTTGTTACCACTCTTTAAGTGAAATTTTATATACAGAATGTATATAATTATGCTTCTTAAACAATTTTCAAACATCGAAGAATATGTAAAATATGTACTGCAAATATTTGTCTGCATTATCTGAGCCACCTCACGACAAAACCAACATAGTGCATGGGACCAGCATGGATCCAGACCAGTCTGATCAGGATCCATGCTGTTCACTGTCAGTTTCTCCACTTGTAATATAGTTGGTAAGCGAACAGCATGGATCCTGATCAGACTGCGCGGATGCGCAGGCTGGTCTAGATCCATGCTGGTCGCAAACCCACTAGGTTGGTTTAGACGTGACGCGGCTCATATGTAATCATATAAATACACATGTATATGCATTCATTTCTTAATTAAAATTTGACTTAGACTTTATAGAAAAGAAATTTCTAATTACCTCCCTTTATTTATTTGAAATGTAAATTCGGTGATATCTTAACAAGAACTGCTTTTTGGAACTTACAATATTGATAAATCTACACTTGGGCATTATATTTATGATATAAAACCATAAAAAAATTGAGTTACAGGATCTTTAAAAGCTCATGAATGGTGCATATTAATGTACAAATAATATGGTTCTTGTGCACTGCACACCTACTCAATGAGATCTATCTACCTACAAAGTTTCATGTTGATACCTCTTGTTGTTTCAAAGTTATGTCCCGGACAAGAAAAGCAGACAAACGGCTAAGAGGCGACTATATGCTCACCCTTTGGGGGGCATAAAAAAATAAAGCTGAAAATAATGGTACTTATAGTTACAAAATATTAGTGTGAAACAAAATTTTGTTGATTTGTATGGGGGGAGCTGTATAAATGATTTTGGTATAATTTTATATGTTTCCTAGTATTCTTGTATTCTGTATACCATTTTATTATAACAGGAAATACTTTAAGTTACACTTGATTGTAATTTGATCCCATTTAATATGTAAAATTACAGATTACAAATTGCTTCCGTCAAATTTCTGTCTGTGGTCAGGAAAAGGAAAAGTAATTACCAAATTACCTTTACTTAATAAATAGAGTTTGTTTTCGTGGATTTACAAGTCACATGGACAATATAAATGTCATATGGCGAACACTCCAGTTTTACTGATGGAGAAAGACCGCTGGTAGCTCCTTTTTCAGACACAAGCAGGCACGTGAGAAGAACCACCAACCTTCTGAAAGCTATCTGGATAGCTGTCTTGTATCAAAGAATCCAAAGACCCTAAAACAGGATTTTTAACCAGCTAGAAATGAGGAGCTGGCAATGATAACCACTTGGTCAAAGAGGTCCCACATTTATCAATTCATATTAATTTCATAGGCACTCCTTGACATTTTATCTGTGTAACTGACAGTACTTGCGCAAATTAGTTAATTACATGGGTTTTAAGGAAGAATGATTTTTGCCCGAGTTATCGCCTTTGGAGAAAAACGCGTTTTAGCTTGTTAATGATTTTTGTATCTCCTGCTACACAGTAGCTGTAACATACAATTGACTATCATGAGGCCACACATCTGATCACTGATCACTATTGTTTATTGAAGGGCCATAACTCAGCCAAAAGTCATTCAACAGGAAAACCTGTATAATATGTGCAAAAACTTGAGCTAAATATCAATCTTGTATAGTTTCTTTTAAATTTTATAAGCGGTATAGGTGAAGTGCAGACCAACTTTGAAATTAAAAATCATTAAAGGTCCATAACTCTGACAAAAATCATTGGACTGTAAATGCTGACAATAAGCACAACTAGACTTAGTCCTGATCAGTCCTGTAAAGTTTGGATGAAATTTCACCCGTGTCCAGTAGTTTCTGAGTAAAGTCCAGACAAGAGTTTCGTGACGGATATATGGACAGATGAAGAAGTGATCCCTATATGTCTCAATGCAACTACTCTGCATGTAGAGGCGGCGCAAAATCTTGGTTATCTGATAAGTGTAAGTCGGGCGGTTGTCAAAGGTCAATACCTTAAGTTCAGATTGACTTAACTTAAAAAACTTGGTATATTTATAAATTCTATTTGTAGCAAGTTATGTGAAGACCTCTCTTTGGACTCTAGGGTCAAGGTCGGTGCTACTAAAAACATAAAACTGCTTCTGGTTAGGAATAAATATTTCAATAATACTTGGTAGCTTACATGAAGACCCAGCTTGGATTTGCTTTTGTTGACCCCCACCCCCTCATCATGGATCAAGGTCAATACAACATCAATTTTTCAAACTACAAAATGCTTGCTATTGTTTATTTTTCATTTATATTGCACATAGTTATATTGTTCATTGTTTGTTTTGTACTCAAGCTAGTACAAAATCTTCTACAATGGTTTAACTTTTAATGTACACAGTAACATATACTCATATTATCTTAACAATATGTAAGAATGTGTGGTGGGTTATTGGCACAAAAATCTATATATACAATTACTGGTTATTTTTTATTATAAATAGCATTATTCATAAAACACAACACTAATTCACCACAAATAATTTAAACAAGAGGGCCATGATGGCCCTGAGGTCGCTCACCTGTATATAGCCCCCCCCCCCCCCCCGGCCCAATTTTTACCCAAGGGCTTTTATTTGTTTATTTGAACAGACTTGGTAGACACCCATAAGAAGATGTTTCATGCAAAACATCTAAGTTCTAGCTCATTGGGTTTTTTAAAAGAAGATTTTTTAAGTTTTTACTATACACATATAGTTAAAAACAATGACACCCCTCGGGCAGGGCCAGTTTTGACCCCTGGGCTTTTATTTGAACAAACTTTGTAGATATTTACTTAAAGATGTTTCATGCTTAATATCTAAACTCTAGTTATTTGGGTTTTTTCAAAGAAGATTTTTAAGTTTTTGCTATATGCATATAGGGAAAATCAATGACCCCCCGGGGCGGGGCCAATTTTGACCCCAGGGCTCTTATTTGAACAAACTTGGTAGACATTCACTAGAAGATGTTTCATGCCAAATATATTTGCTCTAGCTCTTTGGGTCCTTTAAAAGAAGATTTTTTAAGTTTTTACTTTATGCATATAGGGAAAATCAATGACCCCCTGGGGCGGGGCCAATTTGGACCCCAGGGCTTTTATTTGAAAAAACTTGGTAGACATTCACTAGAAGATGTTTCATGCCAAATATCTAAGCTCCAGCTCTTACAGTTCTTTAAAAGAAGATTTTTAAGTTTTTACTATATGCATATAGTGAAAATCAATGACCCCCTGGGGCGGGGCCAATTTTGACCCCAGGGCTTTTATTTGAACAAACTTGGTAAACATTCATTAGAAGATGTTTTATGCCAAATATCTTAGCTCTAGCTCTTACGGTTCTTTAAAAGAAGATTTTTTAAGTTTTTACTATATGCATATAGGGAAAATCAATTACCCCCCAGGGCGGGGCCAATTTTGACCCCAGGGCTTTTATTTGAACAAACTTGGTAGACATTCACTAGAAGATGTTTCATGCCAAATATCTTAGCTCTAGCTTTTTGGGTTCTTTAAAAAAAGATTTTTAAGTTTTTACTATATGCATATAGGGAAAATCAATGACCCCCTGGGGCGGGGCCAATTTTGACCCCAGGGCTTTTATTTGAACAAACTTGGTAGACATTCACTAGAAGATGTTTCATGCCAAATATCTAAGCTCTAGCTCTTACAGTTCTTTAAAAGAAGATTTTTTAAGTTTTTACTATATGCATATAGGGAAAATCAATGACCCCCCAGGGCGGGGCCAATTTTGACCCCAGGGCTTTTATTTGAACAAACTTGGTAGACACTTACTAGAAGATGTTCCATGCCAAATATCTTAGCTCTAGCTCTAACAGTTCTTTAAAAGAAGATTTTTTAAGTTTTTACTATATGCATATAGGGAAAATCAATGACCCCCCGGGGCGGGGCCAATTTTGACCCCAGGGCTTTTATTTGAACAAACTTGGTAGACACTCATTAGAAGATGTTTCATGCCAAATATCTAAGCTCTAGCTCTTAGGG